CGACGTCGGGGGTCTGGGAGGGCCTCTGCCTTCGGAGGAGGCCTCTCCCCTGCCTTCTCGGGAGCCCGCCCCTCCGGCCCCCCTGTCGTGCAAGCCGCACCTCGCTTCCCCGCTTCTCCCACCCCGGTCGAGCGCACCCACTCCTGCCCCGAGGCCCTCCCGAGCGTGTCGCTGGTGCCTGCGGGCCCTGCCGCCGTGCCGTCCGCAGCAGCCGCCGCTCGCGGCTCCCCCTCGCGCGCCCATGGCCGACCACGCGGCCCCGGGCCTCGAGCGGACCTAGGCCTGCCAGCGGTGCATCCCGAGGGGGGGGCCGAGGGCCGTGGGCGACCCTCTGGCGCGCCGATGGGGGAGCCGCCGGAGAAGAGGCCGCGGGCCGCGGCCTCGGCGCTCGGGCGGCTCAAAGACGCCCTCCTGCCCACCGCGCTGCATTACGCGGCGACCCACAGCCTCGTGTACGCGGACAAGAACCCGGGTGAGGATGTCAGCAGGGCCACGCAGTGCCCCGTGGCCCTGCTGCCGCTGAAGGTGCCGGGGCGCGCCTTCCACGCCGCCGTCGGGCTCAGCCCGCTGTGGAACCGGCTGGTGGACGCGGTGGCGCGCGAGCCCGAGTGGCTCTACGCCACGCTGGAGGTCGCCGCGAGGGCTGACGAGTTCACGAGGCTGATGGGCTTGGTTTCCACCACCGCCACCATAAGTTGGAGGGGGGAGAGGGTCTTCCCCTCCTCCTCCTCCTCCTCCTCCTCCTCCTCCTCCTCCTCCTTCTCATCCTCCACCTCCTTCCCCCCTCCAACTTATGGTGGTGGTCGCGGAAAACATGCCCATCAGAGGCGCCTGATGGAGGTCTGCAAGGCTGCGGCGGCGGACGGCGGGCCTAAGCAGGCGCTGTGCCTGGGCATCCACCGGTCCGACTACATGATGCACGAGCCCGAGGGGACCGCGCCAGCCGACGTGCGTTTCCTGCAGGTGGCTGGGGGAAGCCGGCTGTGCACCAGCGCCAGGCCTGCCCTGGCTGGGTGAGGCCTGGGACCGGTGCGCGCGCGTTTCCAGCGCAGTTCGCAGAGCGCGCGCACCGGTCTAGGGTCCAGCCGACGCCTGGCCCAGTCTGGTGCTGGTGTGTTGCTGGCGCTGACCACAGGTGGAGCTCAACACCGTCGCGGCCTCGTTCGGATCCCTGTCTTCGCGGACCACAGACCTGCACCGGTTCTTGCTCGAGAGGTACGGCATGCGGGGCGACACGGCGGGCGATCTGCGCGAGCTCTACGGCCTCTCTGCGGACGAGGGCTTCGAGGGCAAGCTCCCGGAGAACGCGACGCTCAAGCACATCCCCGCGGCCATCGCGAAAGCGCACGAGCTATACGGCGCGGAGGACGCGTCGGTGGTCTTCGTCGTGCAGGCGGGCGAGAGGAACTTTTCGGACCAGCGCCTCCTGGAGTATGCGCTCTGGGAGAACCACCGGGTCCCCGTGCTACGCAAGACGCTGGGTGACCTGCATGCCCAGGGCACGCTGGACGCCGCGGGGAAGCTGCTCCTCGCGGACACGGAGGTTTATGATGTTCCAACCTACTATAGCCTTGACCACCAGGAAGAATTTCGAGCACCCAGAAAGTACCGAAACCTGAGGTTTTCACGTGTCGGGCCCTGGGAGGCGATACTCGTTCGGCCCTGCTTCGATACTTTTCTGGGTGCTCGAAATTATTTCTGCGATGTGGTCCTTAAAGTACGCTGGGAGCAACGTAAACGGAGGTGTCCGTCCTGTACTTCCGGGCCGGCTACACGCCGGACGACTACCCGACAGAGGCCGAGTGGCAGGGCAGGCTGCTCGCGGAGAGGTCGCTGGCCATCAAGTGCCCCTCGGCCGCCTACCAGCTGGTCGGGGCGAAGAAGGTGCAGCAGGCGCTCGCGCGCCCCGGTGCCGTCGAGCGGTTCCTGGGCGCCGAGGCGGGCGCCACGCTGCGCGGCTGCTTCGCGGGGCTGTGGGGCTTGGGCCCTGGCGAGGACGACGCGGAGATCGTGGCGGGGCGGGGCTCGGAACCCCGTGGAGCGAGACGCTCCTGCACAGATCTGCTCCCCCGCCTCAGTATCGTTCAGCCTGTCCCCATCCCCACCGGGCCGTGGTATCCAATGGAGCCAAGGCCACGCCAGCGAGGGTAGGGATCGGTTATGAACGATGCTCACCTTCCCCTTCCGCGCTCCGTTCCCCTCCCTTCAGGAGGGGAACACACAGACACAATTAATCGTCGATCCCCATGAAAATATTGGACAATACGGGAATTGGGCGGGAAGACAAAAACCCAGAAGATATGGGAAGATATGGGGAACCATTTAATTTCTGTGTATTTATTTGTGTGCTCTTGGGCCCCTTCGTCCCTCTCCACCCAGGCCGTCGAGGCCCACCAGGGGCCGTGCGAGCCTGCGACGAGGGGAGGGTGCGAAGCCACGGGGCCTTGCGCCGCCCGTCCATCGAGCTGCCGTCCTGCTCGCGAGGAGCAAGTGGCGGAGTGGCCACACTGTGGCTGCTCCTGCAGCCCCTCCCCCTCTCCGCCTCGCTTTGTGCAGCGAGGGGGAGGATCACCCCACTGCGCAGATCTCCCCGCCCCAGGCGGAGGCCACCAGGTCCCCCGCCGGCTACGTCATGAAGCCGCAGCGCGAGGGCGGAGGGAACAACTTCTACGGCGACGACATCCCCAAGAAGCTCGAGGAGCTCTCTGCCGAAGAGCGGGGGGCGTACATCCTGATGCAGCGCATCTTCCCCCGCCCACAGGAGTCCGTGCTCACGCGCTCTGGGGCGGCCCTCATCTCGCCAGCCCTCACGGAGTTTGGCTTCTACTCGGTGTTCGTCGGCGACGGCACGACTGTGCACATGAACCAGCACGCCGGCCACCTCGCCAGAACGAAGGCCGAGGGCGTCGACGAGGGCGGCGTGGCGAGCGGTTACGCAGTCTTGAACAGCCCGTTCCTGGTCTGAGGGGCGTCGGCCCGGGTCGGCCGCGGCCCGCCCCGTCGCAGGACTGCCGCGCCCCTGCGCCCTCGGACTGGGGCGGTGCTCCCTCCTCGTCGATCGATTGTGGGGCGAGTCGGGCCAAGAGAGTTGCGACGCCTCGGCTCTTGTGCCGCTGCTCGAGCTTTCGCGGCGCAAGGCCTTGCTCCAGGAGCGCCCGGGCGGAAGATGGCTGCGATCGCCTGGTGCATGCTGGCATCTGCATGCTGCTGCTCGCGTGCCGGACTCTATGAACACCCTCCTGCTCCAAGTCCTGTCGCCCTGTCGTCGTCCTGTCGTCCTGTCGTCCTGTCGTCGTCGTCGTCGTTGTCGTCGTCGCCCTTCTCCTCCTCCTCGGCTTCCTCCTGCGCTGACTCGTGCAGAATCTCTGGATGACCCGGCTCCGCTGCTGCACCCACGCGGCGGCGCGCCCCCGCCGCGGCGACGCGCAGAAGTTGCGGGCGGGGCCTCGGAGAAGACACATCGGCACAAACATGGTCCAAGTATCATTGCTCAGGGGCTTCCTGTGCGCGGGCTAAACTTCAGTCGGGCCTGTCCCTCTACAGGGAGAATATCAAAAAATAGTAAAACAAATAGTCCGGGGACTATCTTTGGATTATGTTTGACCATTGTGGAATATGTTTTTAGTATTTCTTATTTTTTGTCGAAAATCCCCCTGTAGGGGGACAGGCCCGACTTAAGGCTAAACGGCTTGGCGGGCTGAGGGGAAGGGTGGAGGGCAAGTGGCACAGGCAGCAGCGGGGCACGAGCGGCTGGAGCCGCGGCGACTTGCCCCGCTCACCAGAGCCCCGGAAAAGTCATATTGAAGCAGTTGATCTTCCGGAGGTCCGCACGGATTTCTTGGATCAGCGCTGGACGTCCCCCCTGGCGTCACCTCCGTCACCGCCCTGGCACGCTCCGCGCGCCGGGGGGGTCCAGTGACGATCCAGGAATCCGCGCGGATCTCCGACTGTGACACTGTGCATGCTCATGCAGATTTTTCTTCTTCAAGGGCAGCCACCGCTTGGAACAAAAATGTCCCCGCCCTCCTCCGCTGCTCAGGTCGCACGCTCCCCGTCAGAGCTCCAGATCCTCTGATCGGCGACAGCGATGGAATCGCCAGAGTGATGTGACGAAGATCCGCTTTTCATCGCATCGCATCCCCCTTCCTCTCTCCCTCTCTCTCTCTCTCTATCGCTCTCTCTTTCTGCTGTCCACCACTCATCCTCGTCGTCGCCAACTTGTCGTCGTTGCCTCGTAGCGGCCCCATGAAGCGGGCAGTGAATTGGCTTTCCGTAAAGCTTCCAAAAGGGTCATGTTTTTTTTTCTGAACCATCAGTTGTCGTGGATGGGCCAATTGATATCATCACGTGTTGCAGATGGGTCGGGTACGCCCCCAGGTACTTCACAGATTTGCAAGGGGAGTGGATGAAGCCAGGTAAGGGGCGTTTCGCATAAGACATCCTCGGAATTTGCAATGCTTGGCCCCTGATTTGACCTGGTTTGGCTTGGTTTGGCCTGGTTTGGCGGGGCGCCCCGCCTGGGACATCTTCAGATTTTGCACATTTGTTGGCTTGGCTTGGTGCCCGTCTCGCCTGAGACGTCCTCGTCATTTGCATGGCTTGTCCTGGTTTCGGCGCGGTTTCGCTTGAGACGTCCTCGCGATGTGCCTGGCTTGTCCCAGTTCCGGCGCGGTTTCGCTTGAGGCGTCCTCGCAATTTGTCTTGTTTGGCGTGTTTTGGGAGCGGTTTCTCTTGATACGTCCTCACGTGTAGGCTACGTGGTGCAACCTACGTGGTGCAAGCTATGTGGTGTAAGCCATCCGGTGTAAGCTGTCTGGCGCAAACCCACATCGCTTCGCCCTCACTAACATGTGACTGGCTGCAGGCGGGCATTGGCCCGTTGACTGGTGTTAGACATCTATCCCGAGCCTGTAGGGGGGTGCTTTTCGCACCCAGATTGCGACGAGGGAGGGGGCTCGGCTTTAGAAAGTTACAGAAACTGGACCAGGCAACAGACAAGCATTCTGATCCGCCCCGATTTGCCAAAAACACGGTGACGACTCGTCGTCTTTCTTTCCATGCCTCTCTTCCTGCTGCTGCTGCTGCTGCTGCTCCTCGTCCTCGTCTTCGTTCTCGTTCTCGTCGTCGCCCTCGTCGTCATCGTCGTCGTCGTCGTCGTCGCAGTACCCTTCCTCTTCTTCCTTCTCCCTCCTCCCTCCCCTCCTTTACCTCCTCCCTCCCCCTTCGTCCTTCCCCCCCTCCTCCTCTTTCTCCTCCCCTCCCCTCCCCCTCCCCCTCCCCCTCCGCATTCTCCTCCCTCTCCTCCCCCTCAGTTGTGCCGTACGGTGGACATCTACGGCTTCGGCCGGCGGTTGCGGAACGGCAGCCAGCTCGACCCTTCCATGATCAAGTACTACATGTGAGGGCGGCCTGAGGGCGCGGGCACACCGACAGCAAGCGAGGTCCTCCTTTTCCTGCTCCTTCTCCTACCCCTTCTCCAACACCTCCGCCTACCTCAGCGTCCCATTTACCACAGCCTCCCTTCGTACATTCTGGGCGTTGCTGGCTCGACGTTCTCGAAGCCACGGGGCCCCCTCTGTTCCAGGCCTCGAGCACCACCGTCTCCAAGGCGAGCCCAGGCCCCCTGACAGGCGGCGCGCGCGGAGAAAATCGGGCGCCACATCCATCCGCATCGCCGATGCATCGGCGGTGCGGCGCGATCTTCCGACCCCACCTGCTCGGAAGCCGTTTGAGAGCCCTTGATATGTGGCCTCGCCGCGGGGCCCCGGCAGAGCCAACAAACAGAGCACCATGACAGTCCGAGAGAGCACCGAGACGGCCCAAGGTAGCTCCACGATGGTCAGAAGACGTCCGCCTCAGAAGCTCTCGATCCCTTCCAAGGGCCCCCCGATGCCCTCTCGGATGCCGCTCCCTCGCTCCGCCATCCCTTGGCGCGTCGCCGGCGTGACCTCCGGGCACGAGTCCGCCGTCCTCACAAAGTGCAGCGGCGAGAGAGAGAGGCGAGGGCCCCCGAGGGGTCACAGAACATGCCCGCCAACACAACAGGCATGGGCCAGGATTTAAGACGTCACACGCCATCTTAAGTTAGCCATTTGCTTTTGGAGTGCGTTCCAAGGCCCCAAGGCATTCGACGACAACGCACCAGAGGAGCTCATCGCTTAACTTTGTGGGCAAAAAAAACATGCCCGCCGACATGTGTGTGGCGGCTGCATGTTGGCAACGTTACAAAGTGGACGCGGCAACGTATGAGCCGCGGACGATGGTCACCCCGAGTGGCCTGGCGGGGGGTGCTCGCGGTCCGCGGGGGGGCCGTTCGGCCGCCCAGGGCACGCGAAGGAAGGAGTGAAGGGAGGGGAAGGGAAGGAGAGGACCAAGGGGGACGGGGGGAGGGGACGGCACCGTGCCGCCTAGGAGCCTGCGGGCCCACGCTGGCCTTTACTCGGGCAGCCGGGGGCGGCCAGGGACAGATTCGGGCGGGTGCGAGGGGTCGACTGGGGCTCATCTTGGGCCCTCTCGGCGTCCTTCCCCCTTCTTGATTTCGGAAGAACCTCAGCGAGGGGCTTGGCATGTCACGGTATGGCTTTGTGAATTGTTAGGGCGCAGCCAGTGGGGTATCGCACATGTGCCAGCACAGGCAGACACATTCATCAGAGGGACTCCTTTGCGCACATGTGCTCGTGATGCGCTTCTCCCCTTGGCCCCATGTAGTTACACCAGAAAGGCCCGTGCATCCCAGCAGGAAGTGCGAGGCGGGGATTTATCCACATCCATCGCCTGGGGACCGACGTCCTGGTGCCCCCCAGCGGGCGGTGGATATGGATATGCCCCTGGGGGCCCGATTATGTCCATATCCAACGCCTGCCCAGGCACCAAAAACTGACCCTCCAGGCGGTGGATATGGATACATTCCCGCCTCGGAGGAAGCGCACACATGTCAGGGGGGTGCTGGCACAGCCTTATTCGTTCCCTGCGTGCGCGTCGTCCCATCGGAGGCCTGGCTCGGGTGCGGGCACGCTGTGCGGGCACGCTGTGCGGGCACGCTTCGCGGGCACCCTGTGTGGGGACGCTGTGCGGGCACGCTGCGGGGGCGCGCTGTGCGGGCGCGCTGTGTTGGCCACGCTGGGCGAGCGCGCTAGCAATGCGCTCAACGCGGGCACCGCCGTTTCCCTTTCCGCTCTCACCCTCGGTTCTTTCTGGAATCTTTTCGGCCACAGGATGGCACCCCAACCAGAACAGGGCGCAAATGGATGCGTGGGCCGCGCTCTGGGGTTGCCGCGCGGAGGCTCGGGCACACGGAGTCAGGACCGACGAGACGATTTGCTTGAACGCCCTGGTGGATTCTATGAGTGTGCTGTGTGCGTCGCTGCCGTCCGCATGGCGTCCGATGCCGCGGCGAGACATGAGCTGCCCAGTGCGCTCCGTGGCCGTTTCTGGGGGTGCCTCCGTGGAGTGCGGGTTCAAAACGAAGCCCCGAGCATGTCATCTGCGTGCGCTGGTGCCTCCGGACCCCGCTGTCGCTCACACGAGCGCAGTGCACGAGCGCGTGGCGATTCGCGACACTCAAGTTCGTGCTGGCCGGCTGCCCGCAGGCGGGAACGTCGGTTGAGATGGTGTTGGGTCCCCACGTCTGTGCCCCCAAGCCGCCCCCTACGTACACGACAACATTCATCGCCTACTCAACGACGTTCCCTTTGTAACGCTGTCCGCGCAATAGCTCAACGCAAGGCGCCTCTCGACGGCCCCTTGCCAGCTGCTGCGACCCCAGCGGCCCCTATTTACTGTGCTCGTATCTGATATATGACGACAGCCACGATGGAAACTCAGAGAACGGGAAGAGTTAGAGAGATAGAGACATATGTAGTGCCGGAGGACGGGGGCGTGCGAGAAGCGTTGGAACAGGGAGGAAAACAGCCAATGTTGACAATTGACGCCTTACGGTCTTGAAGGTCTGAGTTGTTGAGGTACGTTGGCACCCCTCCCTACGGCTGTCTTCGTTGGCCGAGTGACCGTAGGGAGAGCCTCGGCCCCCTCCAGCGCCAATGACGGCTTCATGGATTGGTGTATTGATGGGAGTGGGACCTCGGCAGCCCTTCTGATCGTAGCTGCCGAGGGGTTGCGCCTATGATGGTCATCACCAGAGGGGCAGAGGCCTATGATGGTCCTCGTCAGAGGCGGGAGGGAGGGGAGGCCGATGTCTGGGATCATCTGGTCGTCCGTGATGAATCCTGGTCCTTATGCGGGAATTCCTGAAAGGAGGGGGCAAAACAAACAAGGCATACACAGTTTCGACTCCGAACTGAGTAGGCCCTGTGCACTCGGTATCCCACGGGGGGGGGGGGGGGGGGGAAAACGAGTGCGCGCGCCCACGCTCTGGTGCCAGTTTGTTGCGCCCGTTGGGGCGGACGAAACGTGCCCCCCCAGGAGCAAATCAAGGGCCCCGGGGACAGCCTCGCCCTGCCGAGAGCAAGCCTGAGGAGGATGAGGAGGCATCCCCCAGGAGGGGAAAGCACACACAGACACAATTAATCGTCGATTCCCAGGGGAAATTGGAAAAATATGGGAAGTGGGGGGAAGAAAAAAACATAGAAAACGTAGGAACATATGGGGAATCCTTTTATTTGTGTGTATTTATTGAATCGCTTCGCTCATTCCGCTGGCCCTGGAGCGCTATTTGGGGCCTCTTGAGGCTGTCTTGGGGGCTTCTTGGAGGCTTCTTGGGAGCGTCTTGGGGCTCCTTGGCGGCGTATTGGGCTCCCCTGGGGCCTCTTGGGGAGCTCTTGGGGGCCCCTTGGGGCGGGAGGGGGGGTAGTCGTTGGCAGCCCCCCCCTCGGAGGCCACGATCCTCGTGAGGGGTGGCGAAAAATAGCCTCCCCCCTGGGGATCGCCCGGGGTCAGCCGGGGATCGGCCGGGGTACTTTTCGTCCGGGGCCCCCCAGGGGCCGCCCCGCGCGCGCGAACTAGAAATATTGTTAAGTAGTTACCGGAGATCTTAACACGCCTCTGGCCCGTTGGGCCGGCGAATTTGTGTGTCTCAGGGCCCCTTCAACCCCCCCGATCAAAAGCCAGAGCCCCGCGACCGAGCGCCCCGAGGTAAGGCTCGCGACGGGGTGCGCGGTGACAGTGCCCAGAGGAGCTGCAGGCAACGTGTCCCGAGACTGGCATTTTCCGCGGGGGGGCGGGCAAGAACGCTGCCCGGGGGAAAGTCGGGCCGGACGAAAGGGGGGGATTGGGAAAGGCGGGGTTACGAAATCTGCTGCATGCAGCTGGTTTCGGCCTCACCGAGGGGCCCATTCCTCGATACATAGCCGCCTCCGGCGCCGGGAGGCGCCGGGAAAATCAGCTGCGTGAGCTGATTCTCCCCCCCCCCTTTGCTATACCCCCCTTTCACCCGACCCGAGAAAGTAGGGAGGGGGGATTGGCCCTTCGGTTTGGCAAGCCCGTCCTCGGATCCTGGAGGAGAGGGGGATCTCATGAGATCCTGTCTTGTGCGTCCTGGCAGGAGGGCTGGAGATCGAGGCTGGCTTGTCGAAGCAAGCCCGCCCCAGCCATCCCCGCCAGCCCCCAGAAGGGGAGGGGGGAGCAAGGAGGAAAAAGCAGGCCAGGCGGAGAGGGAAAGGGAGCGAAAAGAAGTGGGGGAACGCCGGGCAAGTTGGGGTGGGGACGGTAATTGAGTGTTGACGTGCCCCAGCTTGCGGCGCTTGCTTACAGTCCTTGAAGTGCTCGGGTAAGGGGCGGGGAGCGGGAGCGGCCACATGAGTGACACCACGGCGGCACACGTGACGCCGCGGCGGCACGGATCGAACCATCACCCAGGCAGGGGTTGGGGAGAGGGGGCGACCGCATGAGTGACACCACGCCGGCACATGTGACGCCGTGGCTGCACGGGCCGACCCGTCACCCAATTTGGTATGCTGGAAAACTGGAGGGTGGCCAAGGCGCCACAATTCGGAGGTGAACCAACGTTGACATGCACAATCAGCCGGCAGGGGAAGACATCCCGTTCACGGCCCCGAGGAGGAGAACAGCGACGCCGCAAGGTCTTGAAGGTCTGAGTTGTGGAGGTACTTTGGCACGTACGTTGGAGGAACACCCTTCACTCTTATCCACAATTGCGGGGTGCCAGCTATATACAGAAATACATACATACATGTATATTCACAGAGATCTATGCGTGTACCTATGTAGGCGTTGGGTAGCCTCTGAATTTGCATGCAGGAGCGTCTGTTGAGTAGGTGAATGTTGTTGTATGAGGGTCGGCACGGGGCCACAGAAGACGTGGGGACCCAGCACCATCTCAACCGACGTTCCCGCCTGCGGGCAGCCGGCCAGCGCGAGCGTCGCGAGTCGCCACGCGCTCGTGCACTGCGCGCGTGCGTGCGGCCGCGCGGTCCGCATGCACCAGTGCACGCAACCAACATGCTCGGGGCTTCGATTTGAACCCCCAATCCACGGAGGCACCCCCAGAAACGGCCACGGAGCGCTTGGGGCAGCTTATGTCTGAGAACGCCGTGGCATCGGACGCCACGCGGACGGCAGCGGCGCACACAGGACACGATGGTCCGAGATTGACTGGACTGGTTTGAGTTGGCCCGCGCTGGGCTGAATTTGGTTGAACTGGATGGAGACGGGCTGGACTCGGCCGAGCTGGACAGAGCCGAACTAAGGTGGACTCAGCTCCACTGAGCTGAAGCGGGCTGGGCCTCAGCTTTTCTGACCTGGACGGCTGAGTTGGACTGATCTGTGCCGGGCTGGACTGAGCTGCGCTGCGCTGCGACACCGGCTCACGTAGAATGAATTGGCCAGAGGACCGTCTGTGTCTCCAAATGGGCGCCTTATTCAAAAGGTCACAGTAGCCCGCGCAACATCCTGTGGTCGACCCCCCTCTGGAGGCCCAAGTGTGGTGTCTACAAGAATTGGGGGGTGGCTGGGTGTTCTATTCAAGAGGTCTCACCAGTTTCGTCTTGACCTGGCCCGTGCAACGCCCACCACATCGGGCGGCCCAATATGTGATTCCCCCCGCGGCAATGATAGTCGGGCATGGTCGGCTATGATTTCTTGTCTCGCGGCGTGCTGCCCCATGGTGAAGATGGCGGCAAACGGTAACGAAGTAAAACAGGTGAGCAGTGCAGCGCAAAGGCTGGCTGTGAAGGGTGCCGAGGCACGAGGCTCATTTCCGATTCAGGGCCCTAGCCGTTAAGCCTGACGTTTTCCGTGGCCCCGTAGATAAGCCGCGTCTAGGAAACGCCGATTCGACGCATAAGGACTCACGAAACCGAACATACAAATCATACCACGTAGCCTCCTGTGTCGACTCTACCTCCACCCTCTCTCCTCGATCTTCCCTCCTTTCTCCATCCCCCCTATCCCGCCCCCTCATCTCTCCTCCCTCCTCCCCGCTGCCATCTCGAGGGGAGGCCGAAGGCCTCTCAAAAGCACACTGCTTCTACGAGGCCTCCCCCCCCATGCCCCCCCCCCTGTGCGCGCCGCCGACCTCTCCCTTCCTCCTCCCCCTTCCTCTCGTGGAGCGGCCCTCCCGCTCCCCCCTCGCAGGAGGAGGAGGAGGAGGAGGCGGAGGAGGAGAAGGAGGAGGAGGAGGCGGAGGCGGCGGAGGAGGAGGAGGAGGAGGAGGAGGAGGAGGAGGAGGAGGAGGAGGAGGAGGAGGAGGAGGAGGAGGCCCTCCTCCTGCACGGGGGCTGCCCCATCCCCCCCCCTCTCCCCCACCAGGAAACCGGGGAGGGGTGGTTTGGCGCCCAGCGCCACCGCCCCGGGCCTCCGCGCGCCACAGAGGTGGTGGCCCGCCGCGCCTGGGCGCCCCGCCAGGGGGGGGGGGAAAAAGGCGCAGCGCCTCCCGATGCCGACGACGACGCCGCCGACGACGCCGCCGCCGGCGACGACGGCGACGGTGGTCGACGTCGTCGGCGTCGGCGTTTCGGTGGCTTCTGGGCGTCCTGGGAGGTTCCTGTGGCTACAGCTGCACGCGGCCCGAAAACTGGCGGACCAGCGGCGCGCCGGGGGGGGGGGGGAAGGGAGAAGGGGACGAGTCTTCTCAGAAGGCGGTGGGGCTTTTCCCAGAAGCCCCCATGGCCCCTTGAGAAGCCGTCTTTGCCTCCTCGGCGGGCGCCAGCTATACACCGATACCGATCCTGGCCAGGCCCACCCTGGGCCCAGGGACGGTGTCTGCGCCTTCCTCGCCAGGGCGGGAGGGCGCATATGCACCGACCCTGGGCCCAGGGGGTGCCTGGCCAGGCTCGGTGCAGGTGCACAGTTGGCGCCCTCCGACCCTCGGGCACTGCTTCGGGAGCTGCCCAGAGGGCCCAGGGGGGCCTTCGGGGCCTTCCGGGAAGGCCCGCCCCTTCCCGCCCTCCCCCCCTCGTCGTGCCGCCGGCAGGGGCAGGGGGCGCCCCCGCTTCGACGCGCGCGTGCCTGGCCACCCCGCCCGCTGCTGCGCCCCAGGCCGCTCCGCGCATCTCGACCTGCCCGCCGGCACCCATACCTGCACGCCCGTGAAAGTCCCTGGGGTGGAGTTCTGCGGGGGGCTCTGGCTGCGTGTTGTCGGACGGGGGTCCCCGCTGGGAGGTCCCCCTCGGGGTCCGACAGCTCGCACCCATAACGGGCAGCGCGGTCATCGCCTTGCCCTTCCCCCTTCCTCCTCCCCAAGTGTGTGTTGTTCGTTGGTCAGCGCAGCCGTGCGCTCACCTCCGCCGACGCGCACGGCCCGGCCCCGACACCTCCTGCCGTCCGGGGAGGGAGAGATACTACGATATGATGCCGCCTCGTCGCCACGGCCGGTTTCTCCCCGAAGCTTTGGTCAGTGCGTGCCCCAGGAGGGGTCTGGGGATTAGCGGCACGGTAGGTGCGCGTCATGCCGACGCGGCGGCGGCCCCAATGCGGGCGTTCAAGGTGGAACGTTGCCAGCGGCCCAGAATCGGCCAAAATGGAACGATTTGGCAACCGAAATGCCGCCGATCGTTCAAGACTGAACGATCCACGCGGCGTCAGACACCAGCGTCGGGGTCGTCACGACACGAACCCGCCGTGTCGGTGACTTTTTGTCCCCCCCTCCCCTCCCCCGCTCTCCTGCCTCCCGTTCCTCCCTCGTCCCGCTCCCCCCTGCTTGCTCTGCACGCCTCTCATGTGTGGCAACACGATAGTGGTCCTCGGCTGGCACTCTGTGTCGGTCTGCTGCTTCTCCCTCCAAGTCGTCTGCTTTCTGACTCCCGCACCACATCCGTGGTGCATATCCTCGTGCAATGGCCGTCTCCCTCGCCACATGAGAGCTTATGAGGAGGGCTGTGACATTGTCATGGTGCCTGTCTCCAGCCTCATGCATATGTTTCCTTAAGGCACTCCATAGGTCTAAATCATTTTGCCCTCTCAAGGGGTTGGAGTACAGGCGTTCTTGCCATCCTTTCTCCACCCCGACGTTTTCTGTGAGATATACCAGCCGTCCCTTAGTACGTCGAATGACATACTCCAGTACCGCCAGCTCGCCACGATGCACTGTCTGCTTGCGTCCCTTCAAAGGTCCCTGAGCCTCAAGTCCGAAACTCACGGCCGAAACGTTGGATATGATGACGAGCCCAAACCTACTCTGCGCAACTTCGGCGAATGTGCATCCCGTCCTCCACTGGCGTCGCCACAAGCATAGATAGGATGTTTTTCGCTGCCCTTTGCCATGCAATCCCCGTTGAATTTCAGGAGAAGGGTGCGGAAGTGACGTGGAGGCGAGGAGAGGGGAGGAGGAGCGGCGATAGGAGCTGGGGGCGCGGGGCGGGTAGGGAATAATGAGGCGGGGAAAGGAGGGGATAGCGCGGGGGCGGCGGGAGGGGCAATTGTGAAAGAAGACAGTTTCGCAGAGGCGCGAGGCGACGGGTGAGAGGAGACATGGGGAAGAGGAGGGACGGGAGAAGGAGAGAGCAGAGGAGCGGTGAGAGGGCAGGAGAGGACATGTGCGAGCGCGAGCAGGGAGAGGGGGGAGGAGAGAGGAGCGGGGCGAGGGAAGAGAGGGACGACAGGAGAGACGGAGAGAGGGGTGACAGAAGGGGCGAGAAGTGGACAGGCAATGAAGCAAGCCATCAAATGGGAGGGAATCGTGCTGGGAGATGGGGAGAGAGAGAGAGAGAGAGAGAGAGAGAGATAGGGAGGGAAAGATAGAGAGAGAGAGAGAGAGAGTGGGCGGCTGATATCCGTCAGTAGCAGTGCCACACATGGGGGATGCGAACTGAAAGCCGGATGCTGCCACGGAGGGGAAATGGAACGGGACGAGGATTGAGTACAGCGAGACAGAGCGAGAAAGGATGTGTCCGGCAACACCTCCCCCGAGCAGTGCTTCCACGAACGCACCCATCAGGAGGGTCTCTGGGGGTTCTCGCCCGGTGGGCGCCCGTGGCCGCCTCGTCGGCGCCCCGTGCGCTGGCGAGGGCTTCTCCGTTCTTGCTCCGCTGGGCGCCTCGTGGGCGCCTCGTGGGCGCCTCGTGGGCGCCTCGTGGGCGCGCCGTGCGTTGACCGTGGTCTTCGGGTTTTCGCCCGGTGTGCGCCTCGTGGGCTCCTCCTGCGCTTTCTGGCGTTCTTCCGGATGCGCACGCCGCACATCGATTGCACAACATGGCCTGCACTGCACTGATTGCACCGCGTGGCTTGCGACCCAACTCTTGCACGTCACATTTTGCACCACATGGGTGGCTTCACACATGTTTGTGTTGCGCCGCGTAGATTTCCTGAGTCCCGAAGAAGCTTAGATTCAGGTCGCATGCGGAGGCCAGACTTGTGGCACCCATCCGCGTGTGGATTCTTCGCATGTGTTGTGCACGCTCCATCATGCTACATCTGAGACCATGCCATCCCAGCCAGGCCAGTATCGACTCTCTGCCTGTCAAATAGTACAATGCGGTGCGCACGTGTTGATCAAACACACGCGATTCGTAAGAATCCCTCTCGGATGGTACCACGCGGGCCAGACGCGCCCTCCGTGCGCGCATGTCGACATCAGGTCAAAGCCATAGTTTTTTGTCGGAGTTTTCTGAAGCATCGCAGTATAACTTGTCAAAGACATATTATGTACCACTGGATTCCAAGTGCATTTTTCAGATGCCTCCCAGCATCGTCACTCGCCGCTCCGAGTCATGAATCTGCACGAGAGTGGTCCGCGCTGCGCCATCTGGGATTTGTTGACTTATTCCGTTAGCTAGCTGCGCTCACTGCCTCTTGTGTCTTACGAGCGACTTGTCGACCTCAAGCTCTTCAATTTCAGTGCGCGTGCATTACACTACATAGTCAGCACAAGAAAGCATGCCACACATAGCCTGCACCACGTAGCTTGTACCACACATATCCCACCACATTGCATGTACGCCTTGGACTGCGCCCCCAACTATTACACGTCCAGGGTGCAAGACCTCATTGATTGAGGTTCACGCTCCAAACGTTCATATTGCGTCTCCCAATCACATGACCAGGATCCCCCGCACGGATGGGGGCCTCTAACTCCTGAGTAATTCTGGACGTTCGGCGCTACCGTTCCCAGCCCGTCTGGGCACGTCCGGCAACGCCGACGCAAGCCAGACGAGGGTACACGCCAGCTCCAGACTACCCCGCAGAGCTACCATATTCCCCCCCAGGTGTCCCAAGATGACGTCGGGACCGCCCACGACTGCCCACGATGGCACCAAGACGCCTCAAGGGAGATTCAAGAGCACCCCCATGAGGCCCCGAGCAGCTGCAGCTCGTGCAGTTCTCGGTGAGTTTTCACAGATCTTCGCGTCATTTCCTCGTCGGGCTCCAGAGCGCCCTAGATTGTGGCGCCCCGTGCCCTTGGACGAGGCGGCCCTGAGCTCGGTGCCCCCCCTGCCGCTGGGACCCCGCCTGGCTCCTCCCCGGGCCCGCCCAGGAGGCGGCCACAGGCGTCAGCTGGCGCGCGCAGGCGCTGGAGCGCGACGCCGCGGCCCCCCGGCGACGAGAGGCGGCGCCCGATGCCCCCCCCCCCACCCCGGCGCCCAGAAGCACGGGGAGGGGTGCGCGCCCGACGGGTTGCGGTCCGGGGGCTGCCTTGGAGCAGGACGCGCCGCGCGGTCCTTTGGCGGCGAGGGGGGCCAAGGCTGCGCAAGGCTGCGGCGCTGTGGTCTCGCGCGGGGCTGGTGCGCGGGGGGTTGTGCGCGCCCCGCGCGCGTGCGCGTGGGGTTCTCCGGCAGCGTGCGCGCCCAGAGAGAGTGCTGGTCCAGGAGCTCGTGGCCGGCCGCCGCTGCCGAGGAAGCCTTGGGCGCCCCCGGCCGACGCCGGGAGGAGGAAGAACGGGAAGACAGAGAGGGTGAGGTAGAGTCAGAGGGAGAGGGATGGACGGATACACTGACTTTTTTTTTTTTTTTTTTTTTCTACACCGATGGATACACACACCTGTACTAATGCAATGGATACTAGCTGATGGCCTTCGGCCCATCCCGCCACCATGCCTAGGTTGTGGGTCAGAGTTCTTAGGGATGCTTCTTCGGGTCTCTTCGAAGCGCTCTCGGGGCGCCTCTTGGGAGAAGTTTTGGGGCCTACTGGAAGCCTCATGGGGGCTTCTTGGGGGCCTCTTTCGTCCTCTTGGGGGCCTCTTGGGGGCTTCCTGGAGGTCCCTCGGGGCCAAGGGCACTAAATGTCCGTTTGGGTTCCTCATCTGTGCCCCCCTTGTGGCTGTTTTTGTGCCCGCTTGGGCCGTCTTGGCCCCTCTTGTGCAGTCTTGGGGCCCTCTTGGGCCGTCTTGGGGCCCTCTCAGGGGGTCTCCGGGGCCGTCTTGGGGCGGTCTTGGGGGCCTCGTGGGCTGACCTGGAGCGTCGGGACGCTGAAAATGTGAAGA